ATTATAACCCAGGAAACAGACTGTCAAAAAATTTCATCACTACATTACCCCATACGCAAAATCTCAATTCAAAGCAGATCAAAAACAAACAAACAAACAAAAAAACAAATGTGCGGAACAAAGCATGAACAACATTGGAAAAATAAAGTGAAAAATATATTTATGCTCTACATTTTTTGAAAATTTTTGGATGTGAAGGGTTTATTTAAATATGTTAAACACAGGGAAAGTTTCTTTTAAAATTTTTTTAATTCCAATATAATTGATTTACAGTGTTAGTTTCATGTATACAGCAAAATGATTCAGTGATGCATATATGCACGAAGATAACTTTTCTTTTCAGATTCTTGTCCGTTATATGTTGTTCCAAGAAATTGAATATGGTTCCCTGTGCTCTACAGTAGGTCCCTGTTGTTTATCTATTTTATACGTAATAATGTGTGTCTGCTATTCCCCAACCCCTCCTTTATCCCTCCCCTGTGCTTCAGTCTTTCTTACAGCAAAGAGTGAAAACACGTGCTTGCTGATACAGTAGAGCAAATTACAGTTGGTGCATTGACTCCACAATTCCTTCTGGCCTGCAGTCACAGAAGGGAGAAGGACCTGAGGCTTTGCCTTGCGGACGCGGGACTCTCACCGAGAGATGTGATGCACTGGGCGAGCAGCAGCACCCAGGGTGCAACAGGGCAGGAGGGGTCTCTGGGTTGGGAGGAGGCTCAGGAGACCCGGTTTAGAATGGGCTCCTGTGTCAAGCTGGGAGCCGGCCCATTTCAGGGGCAGATGTGTCGCTTTGTCTCTTACCCAGCAGTTCTTAGAAATCCAGTTGAAGAAGAATCAGCTGCAGAGCTTACGGAAGAACACACATTTTTCAGCCTTCATTCTAAGATTTGGATACGCTGTGTTGGGTGCCACCAAGAACATGCTTTTGACAAAGCCAGGTGCTTCTGATGCAGGTGGTCCATGGACCACAGTTTGAGTAACACTGGTCTGGTAGAAATTGGAAGGATGCAATACACAAGCGACCTCAGACATACAAATGTGGAACATCTATACTTCAGTATTAACTTTCCATCCTTAAACCTAGCCTGGTCAGGCAGTCACAGCCCTTTCCTGTATGACTTTTCAATTGAACTGTAT